CATCCAAACGTGGCTTTATTCAAAAGATTCAAGGTCATTGTATCGATCCCCATTCTCCAAGCCATGAAAAATATCTACATTGGAAAATACTGTGACGGTTTTCGAAAGCTTTTGTACTCAATACTTTTCTAATTTCATTATCTTCCTTTTCTTATCTCTTCTCCTTTATGAACTCAACACTTAACAGTTGTTTTAACCGGCCTCCTCGTTACCCGCTCGGTATCTTCGCGGTGTCGCTCCGTGATTTTCTCAATTGTTTGTCGTTCTGTAACTGGGACCTACGACGGTTTCGTAAGTAGCAAATATGCATTGATGCATGCCTATAATACAAACGAAACTTCAATTGTCGTTCAAGTGTTTCCTACGTGCTGGAAATTGGGTCAGCCGAGGTCGGGACATTGCGATTCGTATTGTTGTTGTTCGGACTGCCGTTACAACCACTGACGCTGGAAAATTATTTCGCTTATTAAAGATCCTAAACATAACGCCGGTTTCAATACGGCAGCCAGCAACCAAAAATATTAAAGGGAAATTTATTTTACATAAAAAAATCAAATAAATATTGGGTAATATGTATGAACGAGTTCTCGGGAGGGAAATGTATCCATAGTAAATCTATAAGAACTGCACCTTCCGTATAAGTGTCAAAAGCCATTCTAAATACTATTCTGAAACTTTCAGCCTAAGATCATCGACATATACGAAATTAAACTAACTTTCACGACGGGGTCTGTGATTACTTTGTCGGCAATACTTTGGATAACCTTCGTGGGCGTAGCATAAAACTTTTCGAAATCGCTTGCCCGTGTACTAATCCGCTAATTCGCTTCCACCTTGAAATAGGCTCAACAAAGAAGTAGGTATTGCCCCCACAAAATCCGACCTCAATGGAATCTATACCAATAGCTTGGTCCCTGCGCAGAATTAATAAGTTANTAAAGTTCTTGGTTTCTGGTTAAACAGCAATCTATCTTTCTCTTATCATAACCATCTGACCAGTTAGGCCGCTTTTCGGTAAGCGCGCAGCATCCAAACGCGGCTTGATTCAAAAATTTCAAGGTCATTTGATCGATCCCCATTCTCCAAGCCAAGGAAAAAATCCCAAATGGGGACTACTGTCGCTTCAAAATTATTTCGCTTATTACAGACCCTAAATATAACACGGAGATCAATAAGACAGCCAAAAATCAAAAATATCAAAGGGAAATTTATTTAACTTAAAAATAATCAATGTTCGTTATTATAAATCAACGAGTTCTCGTGAGAAAAATTTACCCATACCAAATGTTTAGGAATTCCACCTTCCATGTAACTGTCAAAAGCTATTCTAAATATTAAATCAAGACGGTGCCTGCGATTACTTCATCAGATTGAAACTTTTGAAATCGCGTGCCGGTGGACTAATGCGCCAATTTTCTCTCATCCACGGGTCATTCCACCTTAAAATTGGCTCCAGAACAAAGTAGGCCATGCCCAAACAAACTCCGATCTTAAATGAAATCTATACCAATATCTTGGTCCCAGAACGGAATTCATAATCCAAAGACAAATAAATCAAATCGGCGTGGCCATAAAAGGGCCGTTTTCAGTCACTTTGGGCTTTTGACGTCCACGCTCATCGACTGAGACAATGCACACAAACGTATGTTTCCTCTCTACTGTAGCAGAGCAGCTGCTGTGTGTTCATCACCCGCATTTCTGGCACTGGATCCATTATTGCTCATCGTCCACATCGACCGTATTCCACGCAGATTCGCAGACACTGCAACAGTTAGCCTTCATCGGTAATGCCGGACTGGTTTGCCATCTGCATTTAGCGTCCAGTTTATACTTCGCTGATGTCGTTGTTGTCATTCTTCGGAACACAACATGCTCCAGTGGGTCACCTAGGACCATTTCGTCGGCTGGGGTAATACCCAGCTGAGAAAGGATGAGGGGAGAAGTAGCAGTTCACAAAACAATGGGTAAAGTGGAATAATACTGGGTGGTATATACCTGTATATATATAGTTAGGTATGTATAGGTTGATATGAATATATAACCGATAAGCATGCAGCGAATGGACCACGCTGTTTGGCAAATAATTCGAGCGAAAACGAGGTGAGGAATATTTCTGGTAAATACTATTTTGAAATTTTTCAGCCTACGATCATTGAAGAATACGAAATAAAACTAACTTTTTGTCGTCCCCACTGTCGACTGATCTACTCACGAAAATTGATTTCCGCTTTTCAATCGAACCGCTTGTTGAAGCTACTGGTGGATCATTGGTTCTCACCTTGACGCTCGTAGACGGAAGACAGGTGCGCCTAATCTCCGTAATATATGTTGCCAAGCTCTATCTATCGAATAATATCTGGATGTCCGGGTAATTCATTATCATAGCTGCTACACGTCGAAGTTGATTGCATTGAAAACTGTAATTCACTGTTCCTAAACCATTCAAAGAGACGCCCAGCTCTTGAAGGACATCGTCTATCTGAGCCAAACTTGATGGCTTACCTATGACGTTTCTTTAGACCGCTATTACCACAGTGGAGTTCTAATCTGAATGCTTTTCGCTGTGGTTTATAATCCACCTATCTGGAATAAGACTTTGAATATACCAATTATTCAGATTGAGCACCATGGCTGTGCTAGCAGGGCAACAACCATTGCGCAGAGAAATAACACACTTCGTTTCCCCTGCAGTAACTCCTTTATAACCTCCTTTATAACAGTCGCTCCCGTTCTCAAACCACGCAAAATTCAAATGTGCCGGGCATAGAGTTAACAGACAAATAATGATGT